ACTTGCGGCTAATAACCGGAATGGCTCCGACATGTTTTTTGCTTGAGGAAGACCTGGGAACGAGTACACGTGACAAGGCATGTGGCGATAAATATGCGAATGATTTGCGAACAAAGTACGAATGTTTCGCAATTGCCGACAAGCCTTCGGAAAAGTGTCGGAAAGCAGGCATTCACTCTAAAAGTGGTATTTTATTATAGTCGTATTGATATAAGTTGTAGTGAACGTCAAGGAAGAAAATTTCATTATTTTGCTGAAGTGATCTATTGTGAAAATGTCAAGTCAAGCTTCTCACGAAAGGAAAAGGTTTAAGATTATATACTATAAATAGTTGTACAGATCCGACGTATGAGATGTTAGCCCATGTGGTCATACTGTGTTTTATTAATGCTTCATGTATGTAAAGTATGTGCTTTTATAAGCAATCAATAAAAGTATTATTATATATGGACCTATCATGTCAGTATCTGAGACGTGTGTTCACGTGTTCTGAACGTGATCAAAATAACTCGCTAAAGGAGACTGGCGCTAGTTCACATTTTAACCCGCCAAATTTGGAATTTCTGTAAGAAAATTTCCTGGTCACTTGAAACATGGATATATGTGGTGGTCTTGTGAATCTAGGCAACACATGTTATGCTAACAGTGTCATTCAATTACTACTGTCTAGTAGACAATTTATAAAATTTATTGAGAATTCTGGACATCAGTCCAGTGTCAAAGAGGTCAAAGGTAGCTGGCTAATTTTAAAAATTGCAAACACTGAGCAGGACAAAACTCATGACCCTAACACAACTACAATCACGACACAAACACGCCACTCCATCCAGTTAGAAGTGGAGGGGACTCCCTTGAAAAATGGATAAGGCTGCTTGACAGAAAGCTTTCAATTGACCCTTACAGTCCTTATAAATAAAATATGTAAATGGATTAAAAAAAAACTGAAGGTAAAGCCTATGTATACAGGTCCTACAGCCTGACATTTTTCAAGATAGCCCCCCCCCCCCCCCCCCGTCCCCCAACATGTTGTATTTATCATTTTATTATTCATCCATGTATCATTTTTATGATCATGCATTATGTAAAAGGTATCCAGTGCACAACATGTGATCTTGAGGACATTGTGAAAGATATTGTTGTATATGGCCACCCTTACTCGCCACATGGATTCATTAACTCCATACCATGTAAGAGTTATGTAAACTTATGGTTTATTACATCAGATGGTCATGTTGAAATCTAGCAAATCTATTTGCTGCAAATGTAAAAATATGAATTATCTTGGCTTTACCTCTTTCATGGTCTTTGATTGGATGCGTGTATTATTTTTACCTTTATTTGTTAAATTTGCATCACTAAAAATGTAGATTCTGTAAAACATTTGTACCGTACACAGCTAAAAATCTATTAAATAAAGCATTCAGAGCTGGGTGTTTTGACAAGAACTCATTTCCTTCTTTCAAGCAATGGGGAACTTTTTGAAAGGAGCCCAAGAAGATGCTCATGAATTTTTAACATCTGTACTAAACAATGTTATTGACAGTAATGTGCACAGCCTTAGTTCACAGTAAGTTATGCTAACATAGAAATGTATAATAGTATTGCAATATGTACTTTATTAATTTATTCTCCATGTATAATTCTTCTAATTCTTTAAATTAGTGTTGGATTTTTAAAGCCGTTTGAAACACTAATGAGATAGTGTTTTATCAGGAATAAAGATTCTCGCCTTCAGCAAACCGATTTCGTCAGTGTTTTACTATACATCAATATTTATAAAATGATTGAATATATATGGTTACACCTAGGTCAAGTGCATATGTCCCAGACAAACTTTTTAAAGGACTTCTGACAAACACAGGTAAAAAGTTATAAAATATGTGAGAATATTTTTCGATGCTAATTAATTAACTGGTGTTGTCAGTTTTTTTTGTTTTTTGTTTTAATTTTCCCTGTTAAATGCAACTTCAAACTACACATGCTCCAAATGCATCATTACCATATGGTTGTTAGAGATTTGTTGCTTTATTGTTTTAAACAAGAACTTGATTAATTTTTTTTAAACAATTTGTCTGTTTGAATTCAGTGAGGTGCAATTCTTGTGGAGCTTCATGTACCAGTGGTGATGCTTTTCTAGGGTTGAGCTTGGCTATAGCTGGCTTTAAGGTAGAAAAATGGAAGTGTGGTAAAAAGGCCTTGTTTTTCAATACAGCAATGACTTGAATGGATCCAGTTTGAAATATCTATAATTGACAAAATAGTATATGTTATCAAAAATAATTATATTAAGAACATTTCATCTACTGCAGCTTTCTGCTACACATGAAAAAAATTAGTTTAATGTTATACATTAGTTTTTGCATTCACCACTTTTTATGAATAGTCCTTGCTATTTACATAATTTACTATGTAATAAATGTAATAAATGTTTTGAGTATGACATTTCCTTGTAGACATCTGTGGAAGACTGCATTGACAAATTTTTCACAAAAGAAAATCTGCCAACATATTGTTGTGATGGGTTAGTCTGCTGAACATTCAAAAGATGAATTCAATTGAACCAGTTATTGTAATATATTGCTACTATATATTAATATCAAATATTTTTTTATTGATTTATCCAAATGTTTGCATGCACCTGCTTTCAGATGCAAGAGTAATGGTGCTGAGAGAAGCAGCWAGATTTCRCAAGCACCCAATTGTTTAATTATACACCTAAAGAGGTATAGTTAAAGTCTTTAATGCACATCACGTTATCTTAAACTGGGGACAAGGGGTAATCCATCCATAATTTTTTCATATTTTCAACAATTTTTAGACTGAAAATGTCATGGCAAATAAGCAAATTGCAATGTTAAGTGTACATTGCATGTCCTGTAACTGGCACATTCCTGACATCATAAACGTACATGTTCAAAACTACCTGCGCTAGCAGGCAATCAAAAATCAAATTATTTCTTTTACAATGGCGTACATAATTAGTATAAATTGGTTTCAATTTGTTAGGTTTGTTCATGGGAACAGGAAAAATATGTCACCGGCCAGTTTTAACAAGACTCTTACTTTGTCAAACTCCTACTGCTCTCTCACTACTCAGGTATTTAGAAAAGTAAAAAATCATATTTCATGKGAAATTCAAAATTGAAATATGATAATTACACTTGATGTTTTGAGATGTACCAATTCCAATTTATAATTTTCAATGTATGAAATTAAATTATGTTGTAGGATCAGCAATGTTACTCATTGAAAGCTGTAATAGAACACGAGGGCACTTCTTGTAGAAGTGGACATTACATAACTTACTGTGTACGGAATTCTGAATGGTATAAAACAGATGACCATGTGGTATGTATAATATAGCATGTTTGTACAGCGCATATCATAACAAGCTGGCTAGTCGATTGATGCCTATTTCAATATA